CGGTGTCTCCATCTATGAACGCGGGATGGGGTCCTCCTGGACTGTTTGCGGCAGTTAAAAACCTTTTGACTTTTACCATGCTTTTACCCAATACAGTTACTTACTCTTCATAAGGCCATCATCAAGCAACATAATGCTGGGCCACTATCGAAAGGCCAAAAGTAGGCTTTTATCTTTTAATCGTCGCATTCATTTTCCCTTCAATTACAGCAAAAGGCCAGCAATATCCCGGCAATTTATTGTTTGTTGGGGCGGTTTGCGAAAATAATAAACAAATTATTAATAATATAAAATAGTGTATGGTAAGTTGCGGTTTTGTAAAAAAAAGTGGGGATGTGGTCTCAATGGAAATATAATCCTGGACGTTTTTTGAATGTTCAGTATTCGACGTCCAAATATATTCCAGAATTGAACGTCCTCTGAATGGTCAAAAGTGTTTCATTTGTATACTTCACTGGAAGTCTATTGGATGTCGGAAGTCCAGAAAAAACTCATTCTTGGACGTCTAGACATCCAAAATTGTATATCGAATGGACGTCCAATGGACATATTTGTATTGTCTGGGTGATAGCCAGACCAGGTATTTAACTCTTAATACATAAACCTCAAATGACATCTGGCTTAACTTGGCGAGAAAACACTTGTTTATACAGAAATGAGTGATAAACTTGAAAGTCCTTTTAGTATAATATAAATCCAGAAATATGTAACTACTTTTTAAACCTAAAAGTTTTTGAAAATATAAGCACATTGCAAATATTTAGTTAAATATCTCAAACTTAATGTCTTTTTAATTGTTACCTAAATTTTTTTGGCACCCTTAATTTTATTTACCTTATTTTTACTTAAGGAAAAGGTAATTTAATTTAAATATGGGGCTTTTATTACATTTTTAACAATAAATAAACCAAATATTGAACAAATTTTATAGATAAATTATAAAATTATAAACGTCTTTTACATTTATAATAAATAATTAATTATTACATAATGAATTATATTTTGGTGCCGAAATTTCACCATTGCTATTAACCCTAACTACTTCAATGTAATTAAATCACATTACAACATTTGCGCATGGACTATAACAATGATTTCAGATAATTTGCCAAACTATTTTGCTCAGTGTAGAAAATAAGCATGTTTTCTCAGCGTGCCAAGTTGTGTATCAATCAAAGTCATGCTGTGAAAAAGGTCCATCCGATATCAAAGGCACCGACAGCTACTGTCGCTTCTCCTTGATCGTTATTCTCGGGTTTGACCACGGCACCCATTCTAGCTTGCCCTCGGGAAAAAGGACACTTGCACGAGTTCGGAAAAGATTTTATTGGGTCAATTACCGACGGGATGTAGAAGATTGGTGTAAGAAATGTGACCTTTGTAACGGCAGAAAAAGGCTTAAAACAAGAAGTCGAGGTAAAATGGCACAGTACCTTTCCGGAGATCCTTTCGAACGAATGCCATAGATATCCACGGACCACTTCCCTTAACAGAAAGAGGGAACAAATACTTAATGGTTGTTATAGACTATTTTTCAAAGTGGCCCCAAATAGTGTCTATTCATTCCTTATTAGGAAGCGACGACAGTAGCGGAAGCATTTATGACGAACGTTATTGCGAGACACGGATTCCCCCTGGAATTATATTCTGACCAAGGACGAAATTTTGAATCCGAATTATGGCAAGAATTGATGAAACTGTTAGGCATCAGCAAAACACGCACTACGCCGCTCCACCCACACTCTAAAGAAATGGTAGAAAGACCATAGAATGATATGCCAGCATCTTTCAATGTTTGTCTCTGATAATCAAAAGGACTGGGACACTTTAATTCTTCTATTTCTGCTAGCTTACCGAAGTTCTGAACATGAGACGACCAGTTATACTTTATCCATGATGATTACTGGAAGGGAGATGGAACTTCTTCATGATCTTCTTTTTGGAAGGCAGCCTCCTGGTAAAGAAGAGGGCCGTACACTTCCCACGTACTTATAGAACTTAAGAGAAAGATTAGAGAAGGTATACGAATTCGCTCGGCAACGTTTGAAAGTTAATAGCGATAAAGCAAAAGCTAGATTCGACATTCAGGCCACAGGAACACATTTTAAGAGAGGCGATCCAGTATGGCTGTACAATCCCAAGCGTCGGAAAGGACTTTGTCAGAAACTGCAACGGAACTGGGAAGGGCCCTATACCATCCTCAAGAAAATCAAACGATCTATCTCATTCTGTTGTCAGCCCATCGTAAACCCAAGGTAATTCACATAGCAAAGTTAGCGCCATATCGTGGTCCAGATCCTCCCAGTTGGCTCCATCCAGGTCCCGGTAATCAAGTTATTCAAGGCGAATAACTAGAGAGGAGGGAGTAATGTTACGCAGCACCCTGCAGTAGCCCGCGGCTGTTATAGGAAACGTACGAATACAAAAAAAAGTGCAATGTTACTTATCGCCCTACAGTGTGCTGCGGACGTCATAAGTAAAAGTACTAGCAAAAGAAGATAGAATAGTCCAGAAATGTCTGGGAATGTCATTCGACGTCAAGGAAAAGTCTAGACAGTTCGAAAACATAATTTTTTAAATGCCTAAACAATTCTAAATTGACTAAATTTAAAAAGAATAAGTTTTAGATACATAAATCACAATAAGAATTTTAAAATTTGGCAAATCGCCTGTCCAGAATAATATTGTATTAATTTCATTATGTAAATTTTTACAGGAAGGAGAAATTATGTAATGCATATACCTATATTAGCGAGAATATATTAAATTTTGAGTTTCCATTCTGAAACGAATTTATTTCAGGCAGAACCACTCAAATAAAGGACTTGTGATTTTATTAATGGGTTTGTTTTCTTGATTTTTCCAGATAAAGACGTTTTCGTGGAAACTAAAAGTTTTCTTTTATTTCAATTAAGTTTCCGGGTATTTTTATTTTCTAATGATGTAGAAGTCCAGTAAGTCAGGTATTTTATTTCTGTCGGTTGGCCAATAGGTTGGTTTTCCTGTTGACTGGTGGTCACACCCAATTTCACTTGCGGCTGCATGCAATTCCCTACCTTTGGTGATTGTTAATCTCGACCCACAGATGATATTTTTGTCATTAAAATTACCTTCCAAGATACAGTTTTCTCCCATTTGTCGTAAAAGTTCACTGTTTCTTTTTTCAAATCTCACCACGCGACGTGTTTCCTTACAAATTATGCAACCAAAGAAATACCAAAATGCTCTCAAAAAATACTCACCTCTTATAATATTACCCTTGAAAATCCACATGCCATCAGACAACACCATTTTCAACATGAGTTTTGATTTTCCAGATTTTTGTTTCAACACAACTTACTCATGAAGACCAAAACCATTTTAACACGTTACTTATAGTCACAGAACATGCCATATACTATTTCTAGTCATTAAATAAATCATAACAAAGGAGAAATGCGTATATATTTTAATAAATGTAAAAAAAGTGTCTAATGAATATAAATAAAGATATGTATTTATCGAAAAAAGATTAATCCACAAAAAATATTTCTAAAGTAATCCATGACCAACAAAAACAGAGATACAAGTCATATCCGTGATAACAATGAAGCATCATGCTTATAATTACGGACGGCGCAGAATTAAATCCAAACTGAGTCTTAAAAAAAAGTAAAATTGAACGCTCTGACATACGTGAATTTTTCCAAGGAACATTTTTAGTGGATCATTACATACACATTAACTAATTTGAATCGATTTGTATATTATTGTTTAACAGACAAGATTCGAGCAATGAAAAAGTGTTACATTTCAATTTATGTATTTATGTACGTAAGAACATTGGAATGACAAAGAAAATACTATACAAGAACTAGAGAGTTCAAGAATAAGTAGAGAAAGTAACTATACTCCAGGCAGATATCGTGAGCTCCCCTATCTCCAAATTGAAGAGGTCATGTGTGCTGTCTGCAAAAAGATGAAGAAGTAGAAGAAGAAAAAGTAGAAGGAGAAAAATTGGTAATGGTGTTATATTAATAGATCCTTAGGAGGTTCTTTACCACTTTTTCTTGACGTTTGACTACCTCGCCCAGGTACCTGATTACAACGTTCCGATACGTGACTACCACGTCCTGATACGTGACTACCACCTTCGGATGCGCGACTACAACGTTCGGATACGTGACTACCACGTTCCGATGCGCGACTACCACGTGCTGAGTCGTGAGAACCATGTTCTGATTTGTAACTACCATGTTCTGATCCTCCTGATAAGACACTACCACGTGATATGTGACTGCCATGTGATATGTGACTGCCATGTGATACACTAACAGGTGATGCGCGACTACGTACTAATGCTTCCGATATGCGAACACTTCGTTCTGAATAGCGACTGCTACGTCCTGATACGTAACTACCAACATCTGATTTTTGATCATATGTGTCTACGTAACTAACACGTCCCGATGCTCTGCTTCTACGTTCTGATACCGTACTTTTACGTTCGGATATCGCACTATAATCTGTTACGTCACTAATAAGCTCTGGTTTGCGACTTGGATCCGATTTCTTACTAATTTGTGATTTCTTACTAGTTTCTGATTTTCTGCTAATTTCTGATTTTCTACTAATTTCTGATTTTCTACTAATTTCTGATTTTCTACTAATTTCTGATTTTCTACTAATTTCTGATTTCCTACCACGTTCTGAGACTTGACTGTAACGCTTAGTTTTACTTTTTTGCTTTGAACTTGTAGAAGCGTCAGTTACTACCATGTTTAACACTTTGTCTAAAATAAAAGCAGCAATCGCTGTGGGACTTTCTAAATCCGTGACATCACCAAAATCAACATGAGGTATAACTGTATCGTAATCAATTGTAACAGTTTTCGATTCTATAGATGGCTCTCTTGAAATAGCTTCTTGCCCAGGTTCAGATATCTCACATGGGATAAATTCAGGATTAAGTAATTTTTGTTCTTCTGTTAGTGTCATCATAATTCTACGAGTATAATAACCTTTGTAAGCTGCTTTTATTAAGGTCGCAGCTCGCCTTGCTTCTTCGTTAGTTACTCCTGTTTGCCTGTATAATTTAATGGCGCTTCTGGCTGCAATTCTCCAATCTATCATTCCAGTAAGTAGAGTTTTTTCGGTTTCTTTTCTTTGTTTAAACCTTCTGTATGCCCTTTGAATTATTGCTATTGACTCCTGCATTGCACCTTCTTCTAATTCAACATCACTTAAAATGTCGCTTATCATGTTAGCTTCATCTACGTATTCACCTTGTTCGAGTTGACTAGCATTTCGCTCGTCAAAAACTCTTTTTTTAAATTGACGATCCATGATGCCTACAACTTTGTCTACTAGAGATTTGTGCATACCGGTTTTTTGCAAGAACTCCATTGTAGTTTCTGCTATCTCTGTAACACTCTGGATCAACCTGGCTGCGACTCGAGCATTCTCTCTGGTGAGAAGCAAGGCTTCTAAATAATCGGCTATAAAGGCATACATATTTTGTGGTTGTGTTCTTAATACTTCTCTGGATATATCAGACATTAATTCTTTCAATCCGTCTGGAATTATGTAGATACATTTTGCTGCATGTCTTTGTAATGTTGGATCCATTTTAGCGTTCTTTCGGGATTGAATTTATAAAATATAAACTTGAACAATAATCAATAAAAATTATTGACATTATATATTTATATGACAAGCATGTCAATAAAAGCTAAATTAATGGCACAGGATAAAGAACAATACAGAAAAGAAACATAGGACTAAAACAAGAACCTAGCAACCGAAGCCACACCTTCTTCATGGTGGAGCATTGTCAAAATTGAACCGTATATTTGTTACTTGTTCGAAGTGCAACTGTGCACACTTTTTGGTGCGTTTGATTTGATCATCGGAGATCTCCGAGCGCTGCAAACGCGTTTGAATTGACACTCCGAGAGATCCCTAAAGTGTTTGTTTTGCTTTGGAGCGAGAACATATAGCGAGCTCGATGTTCTCAGAGCAGATGGATCGAGAAGAGGGAGAAATTTGTCTTTGTCTCTACCTATCTCTTTTTAACTAACAAACAAATTTGAATCTCAAAATTAAAGACCAGACAAGAAGTCAACAAATTACTTAGCCGCTTTTGTCTTATAGCTAAAATTATTCGTCATAAAAAACACAAAATGTGTGTTTGGAAAATACATTTTCTCTGTCCAGATCTAATCACCAGTAATCACAGGCATGGAGTATGAGAGCGAAGCGGGCATTTGTGGTATAGGGACCGTGCGTGAAATATAGAGGCAGCACTACTGCCGAAGTTAGCCCTCTCTAGTGTTTAATTTTAGAATTAAATGGGGTAAACATTGCAAGTAAATAATAAAGGATATTTTTTAAAATATTAAATATAGTTAAAAATAGATACCGGCCCATACCAAACAATCGTGTACATGGTCAAAATGACGTAAAATGTGAAACATTATTAAAATCTGGACATGTATATACATTTTAAGCAAAAAGATTTAAATGGCTAAGTGACAATAAATTGTAAAGTTGTACCTTAAACAAGTGTATCCAATGTCAAAATATCGGTATTTAGTAACACTGAATTTACAAGTAATACAATAACATTTAAAAAATGTAAATTAATAAAAAAGATTGATAATAATAATAATATAGTATATTACATTACGAGTGTGGAAAGTGACATTTTTCACACGAGTGGGAAATATTGTCGCACGAGGCGTAAGCCGAGTGCGACTATCACACGAGTGTGGAAAATCACTTTTCACACAAGTGATGTACAATATTTTTCCTACGACCACAAAATAATTTCATCAAAAAATGTAAAACCAGGTTATTATAATAATTAAAATGTATTTAAAAAAATAATCAACAATAATCGTATTTATTAAATTTTCATAATTTCTAAACAAATAAAAAAAAATAAAAAAAAAAATAAAAAAAAAATTCTGGCACAGCCAGGATTCGATCGCGGTCGTTGGACGGTCTCAAATTGCAAAGTTGATGCTCTAACCAACTGAGCTAACAGGCCTTACGGTAATTGATTGATCTAATCGCTTATGTGTTTAACCAGAATAAAAAGCAAATATATCTTAGTTATTTTAAAATTATTTTAAAAATAATTGTTAAAGATAAATATCTAGGATCTAATTTACAATAATTTAACAATCATATCGATTTTAGTATTAATATGGACATTACATAGATCAAAATAGAAATTATGTGTTTGACATTTTCTGACAGCTACTGCGGAAAGTAGCATATTCTCACTTGGGTGGAAAGTAAATTCTTATTCATACGCGTGTGATATAGGGCACTTTCCATAGGTCTATATAGTGTGATATGTGTCACTTTCCTAAGTGGTCGTAGGAAAAATATTTTTAGCTTTCTTAGTCGAAATGTCATTCATCCACTGACGTTTATGAGATGTCCAATGATACATATTATAGATTGCTCACCCATTTATAAAAAAATGATGAAAAGCGGGTTGCAATGTGCCTTTCCTAGTGCTCACTAAATAGAGCCGTTCTAGCCCAAAATAAAATTTCAGCATTTTAATATTTAGAAAAAGAAAATAATTAAAGTTTTACTTCAAGACATGTTATTATGTATTTGGAGAGTTGCGTTTCCATGTAGTTAAATAATATTAAGAGATCTAAACAATTTTTATAACAGATGGATATAAATAATTTTTTCTACGTTCATTCAAAAAACAAAACTTTATTGAACTATATTTAGTGAAAAAACTGTGTCTTTATTGCACTAGTGCAATAACAATTTTATTGCAATCATCTGTCATTTTACTATAGCGTTTTATGATCATGACAAACATAAATATTAAAATTAACGCCAAATATTTAGTCCATTTTCATTTTCTGTAGTACGTTTTAAAAACAATTGCATATTTTATATTATTTTCAATCGTTTAATAAATAAATTAATACAAAAATGTATTTTATTAAAAATGTCATTACAAATTATGAATACAAACGTAAATAAATGCCTCAAACAAAGGTAGACGATCACGCCTACTATGATTTGGATAATACAACTGTAGTCCTATAAAACATTGTTTGGTTTCTGCATGAACGTAGAAAAAATATTGTATGCAACTCGTGCAAAAAGTGTTTATTGCACTTGTTGCATAATTAACTATTAGACTACTCTTATTTCAGAAATAATACTACATAAAATACATAATTGCAATATGTAATACAATTTTGAAAAGGTAATGTAAACAACTTTGAGGTGAGGTATAAACAACTTTGGTAAGAGTTGTAATTGGACACTTATCTATTATTCTGAATAATGTTTAATGGTAATGTCACTAAAAAAATTTACAAAAAATCACTGGATTTTTAATATTTTAAAGTTTGTTGCAATCTCTTTTGACAGTAATTGCAATGTATTATTTATGATTTGTTTATTTTAATAATAAATTGTAAAGAGGACCGTGATATTTTTGTCAAATTGGACATTCTTATTTCATAATAAACATTCTACATTAGTTTTAATCAACAGAATAAACCATTAATTATCTGTAAAATTATATTTATATAAAATGTTCATTTAAATATGTAAACATCTTAATGACAAGAAAACACTAAAGATTCTAATTTCTAAACCGGTTCTGTAAATGATTTCTTTACAACTAAGTGCTCAAAATTGATACAAGCTAGATAAAAAGAAAACTTTGCCCAGTGAAATACGCTTTTCATCGTCTGATTTACATATGGATAAGCAATCTTTGTAATTATGTATATCATTGGGTGTGAGACATTAATTGTTGTGCTCTGTGGAAATTTATAAAATTTATTTACTATCGAATGAAATCCGGTTTCCAAAGTGATGTGTTTGTACATCCACGGATGCAACAAGTTTTTTCGATAATGATATTACGAAAATAATTCGACTTTATTTAATTAATAATTATTAAAGAATAAATGCCGTATAAAACTATAATAAATACACCCCATAAAGTTCACATTTTTGTCACCAGTTAGCGTTAGTAAGTCATGACGCACGGTCCCTATATGCTGCATTTCAGTGCCATTACCCCTTATTATTAAAAGTTTTTTCCATTTTCTTTACTTTTTGCTCACTACTTTGACCTGTGATTTTGACAATCACAAAAAGCGAGGTTATGTTTTTTACTCGGTTTTATTTGATTTGATTCAATGCTCTATTGTGACGTCATCACTTCTCGGTCTCCTCGACGCTCGCTCGATCGAGTTTCAAATCAAACGCCCCTTTTATAGCAGATGAATGAAGCTGTCACTACTGTCGCTGTTAGAAAATCAATATTTTTTCCTGTCGTGTCTTTATTTGTCGTTTTGGATTTTTGATTGTTTTTAGCGAACATTCTGATAACTTTTACGTTTTTTTAGTGGTTTATTTTTAGTTTTTGTTGATGTTTTTAATTGTGGAGTTGTTAATTTAAGACTTTATTGTACGTATTAAGATTAGGTTTACAAACAATACCGCATCAAAGAGGAGGAGGAGGACATGCTTGTATTTTTCGTGGATGTACCTCAAGAATAGGTGGCAAAGAAGGATTGTTCACTCTTGTGAAAGATCCAGTGAGGTAGGTATGAAACCTTGTGGGTGAAATAGGAATTGACCTTGCCATAACATGGTAGTACAATGATTTTATGTATTTTTCAGACTTGAATTGTGGCTTAAGGCAGCAAATAGAGAGAACTTATTGGGAAAGGGTGTTGAACACGTAAGAAAAAATTACAAAATTTGTGAACTACACTTCCAGGATAAATTCGTTTATCAGTCAGGAACAAGAAAACGATTATTTGCAAATGCATTCCCAACAGTATTTCCCCATTCAGAACCTACGAAAAGAGTCACAGTTTTGCAAGGTAAATAAATACAATTTATAGTTAAATGTTACAAAAAGTCTGCTACTTGTCTTGTCATTTTTTTACATAACATTTAGTAGTTTAAAAAATAAAATCATAAGTACTAATAATCTTAGAATATCAACACATACATTCCATTTTGTAGAACTACCTCGGAGGTAAACTGCACTATGCAAATTAAAATAAAGTAGTTTTAGTAGTTAAGATTAGTAAAAAATATAGTGACAATAAATGGGTGTCTAAATACATATCTAGTTGAAATTTAATAATTTAACAACAGTCAATCTACTGTACTAAAAAGTTGACTAGAATGACAGTGCAGTTTACCTCCTAGGCACAGAAATGTATTCACATTTTATAAAATTATTTTAAATTTCATCTGGCTAAAAAGTGTGACTCAGACATTCTGACAAATGATGCACCTTCTTGACACCAGTTGATCTGATAAAAATTTGGTTTCTCTTTCTTTTTTAGAGGAATTTGTTGTTCATGGCGAAGAAGGCAAAGACAACTTGTGTCTACCCTCAACTTCAGCAGAAGTAGAATTTATTGAACAAGTGCATAGTCAACCATCAGTTTCTCTACCTTGTGTAATAGCACCAATTCAAACGAGTAATGTGTTATCATCAAACACGCCAAGAAAGCAGAGACTGCGACTGAAGACAGCAACGTTGAGAAAACGTTTGTTTGGTGCAAAAAGAAGAAAAATAATTACTCATTATTTAATATTTTTTATAGGTACCGTTTAATTATTCTATATTTTTGTTGTATATTAGGATATAGCTATTTTAATAAAGCTACTTATCTATGTATTATAAATTAGGCTTGCTCTATAAATCTGTGTAAACAATTTTAATTATTTTAATTTTCAAACAATTCTATTTTAATAAAATACATGCACTTGATTGTAAACTTATCAATTGCATAAATACACGTTTTTATATTTTCCTTTTTTTTTA